CTGCGGCGGCGGCAGGCCGGCCGTCAGCAGGTGACAATACCGGCGCAGCGCCGCGCCGCCGCTCGCCGCACCGGCACCGGAGCTACCTGCCGCCAGCCGGACTGCAATAAATAAGCATTAGCCGCCGGCGGCCCGGAGGGACAATGTCGACACGTAAATCATGACCGGTGAAAGGGGCCCGGGGGAGACGCGTCACGTGCATTATCGAGGTTCAACAAATACTGCCCGCTCAGAACGGAGACGAGCGGCCTTTGGAATCGAGCAGAGGCGAGGCCAGGGCTTGGGAAGAGAGGAGCTATAGGTATCTGAAGAAGGAAACGGGATTAGATCTGATATAAAAATATTGTACGAAATTAGCGAAGAAGTTGATTTCTTAAAATGATTCAATGGTGCAAAAGATATTAATTTTGGTCGTTTTTAGTAGCGTAGGTGTTACAAATATTTCGTTAGCCTGATCCCGCTCGAATCGCCCCTGCACAGCGACATATCTCGGTGAAAGGAAGGAGAATCAAATGGTGCGTGACTAATCTGACTACAGAGCGGCCAATCAGCCTCATTATTTTTCATCAACACTGGTTTGTGTGCTGGCGCGTCCGTTATGAGCCGCCTCCGGCTGTCGTGTAGAGCGTGAATACGTGACGAACGTCGTTAGAAAGTCACCACCCTTTCCCCAGCCTCGAACTGGATTGGCTGAGCGGCCGCGGTGTGTCGGTATTTTCGGCCTCGGTCGGCCGAAGGGACACGGGCAGAGATGAGAAGACAGAGAGGGTTCAGCGTGAGAGGAATGGATGTTTTACTGGTCAGGAGTGGATTTTGCGGTGATAGTAGGTATTGGAAACGATGGAGGTATATTTTGATGGAGATCTTGCAGACAGGCGTTGCAGTGCGACGCGCAAGGAGCTCCGGTCATCGTTTCCAGCCACGGTCTTGTGGAAACATACACGCCTCGTTATTTTACAACAGTCTTACGTCAACACAACACACGAGTTTCCTATGATTATGCTATCTATCTTTCATTTGTTTACATAAATAAATAATGCCAATTGTCTACAAAAGATAACGTTTCTTGAAAATCAAAACAGTGCAAATTTCCGTTTATACTTCTTTCTTACGTAATTGTCCTCCTCTCAAAAATGATAACGAGGAGTGCGAATTATTTTCTGTCCACGTTGGGTAAACAAAACAACAATAAAATATAATACAATCGCCGCAGTCCCGCCGTACACCCAGGGACCAGGGACGTTGGCAGGTCAGGTCGCCGCCTGTCGTCCTCGCCTTGGCTGGCTGCCGGCTCGGTATGACAAACGGACCAGTCAGGACGAAATTCAGCTAATTGCCCACGCATTGCGGCCCCGTCGGCTAGGCCGGCCGAGGTCAGATTAATGACTCCTGATGCAGCGCAGAGACCGGGGCGCGGAGATGGATAGCGCACAAAGCAGGCCGCTAAATCATACAATAGGGATTTAGAAAATCATTATAATGCAGATGTGTGTTCTTTTTTATTCGTTCCATTTCCTCAAATACCAACACCCAATTCCCAACCTCCACATCCCCTATCAGATTACCCCTCATCCTAAAAGGATGGCACTGTGGGCATATTCCGACCGCCCAAACAATCAGACCATCATCACCATGCGCCTCCCACCTCCATATTTTCCTTTTCCCCAAGTGGGCGAACCCCAAAGCCCCTCTCCAGGCGGGCTTTCCGGGGCCTGAGGGTCGTCCGAGTAACTCTGGCTGTCGGTTATCGGTCTCCTGTCAAGGACCGACTGTTTGGACGCCGCGAACCAGCCAACTTGGTCCTGTGACGTCATTTAGCGCCCGGTGTTTGATGTTCAGGCCGTGTTCTCTATAATGTCTGCAAACAATCATCATCGGTTGGTAGAAGTTCGGTAAAGGGTAAAAGAAAAACGAAAAAACAGGAAGCGCTGTATTAGATGGTCCTGGTCATGATGCAATAGCAAAACGTTGTCTTCCACATGACTTATTGGATATTTTAGGGTAAAAAATACTGATAAATGACATGATTTAAAGAATACTGCCAAACGACAAATCTGAACATTCGGTTTTCAGGTTACTATGTAATAAGACTCTTTACAAATAATTGTCAGCAACCAGCATACAAACTAACTAATGAAATATAAACAACTTCACCTAAATATTAACCTGGTCGGAGAACAGACTAATTGGAAGGCCCTATATAAGTATATATAAGATGCTGGACGCTGGTCTCGTAATCAATAGGTAAATATAACCGAGTAAAGCTGATCGTATACCTAACGGGTCAAACATACATTTCTGGAATGTGGCATGGTTATGTAGACTCATGATGTTGAGCCTATCACATGTGTTCTGATATGCTGGATTATAAACAGCTGCATAACTCAGCCAAGTATTCAGATAAGACGCTTTCTAGTCAAGTGGCGGCAATTTGTACTTAAAAATTTGTTGAACTCTCATGGGCTAGTCACAGAGCCATAGCTAGCCAGCATTGATGTAGGTATAAGAAATATTCATTATTTTATGTCGTGTGTTCAGCTGATCCAATTCTCCACTGCACATCACAAATATTTTATACGGAAACTGTAAAAATATATTTCATCGCTCTTGGCCTTTTTTAGGCTTCGTAGGTAATTGTCAGCTTACCGATTGTAAAACCCAAGCTATGAAAATTGTATTTTATGTCGATAAACTAACCCGAAAAAAGTATGTAATGACCGTTGTAAAAGGTACCTATGTAAGGTACCGTTTCCTTAGCTACGTAAAGTAAGCACATCTTTTTATATCTAACCCAACAATGCCTACCCTCAACAGCTCATCAAAATGCTGACAGAAGTGTGCCCGGTCACGCCAGTGCACGGTCCATGTGCGGCACCGCCCCCTACTCCCCGGGTATGGCTCCAGGAACACCGCGCTCCTATCGCCTCCAGCCGAACAGGGCGTCACGGCCCGTGCAGCGTGGCGCGCGCACTCCAAACAGACGTGTTTTTCCGCCGCCGACCAACCGTGATTGTCAGCAGACTCAATCATTCAGACTGGTCGACATGAGACCGCTGTAGTTCTGGTAGTTCTGCAGAATGTATGAAACTGAAGCCGGCTGACTGGGCTCGCCGAACGGCTGGCGCGTCTCTGCGGGACGGTTGCCGTATCGAACTGATAGCAGCAAACAGAGGACAGACTGTCTTGGGCAGTGTCGCAGGGCAGAGGAATGTGCAGACCTCTGCACCGTGCAAGAGCTCTGTGTTCGGACAACGGACCATAGACAGCTCATTTGAATTGCACTGGCCATGGGCACAGCTCTGTCCGTATCCGCCCCGTCATTACAAGGCAGCGGACCGAGAACAACTAGAAGAGACCTCGATCTTTTTTGTGACCCCAGCTCACAACAATTCAAGAGTATCTCAAGTGCCTATAAACACAATAGGAGCAGCTTATCTTATATTCACTGGTGATTCCAGGGGGGAGGGGGCATTTTAGGTGATGCCCCCACCGCAGCACCCGAAATTGACGAAAATTTTGCGTTTTTACGAGAATAAAACGAAAACTAAATAACTTTTATGAGGAAAAGCTTGTTATGAAGTGCACGACAGTGCGTAAGATATCGAAATCCGATGACTTTTTGGAACTTCTTTTGGGGATATGCCCCGTGCAGCATCGAAGACCGCCTTTCTAAAGATCCGCAAGGGGTTATATTGCAAAATGATTTAAGTGAACAATTGATCGGTTAATTTGTTTTCGATACTTTTTTAGTTATTCGTAAAAATGGCAGATATTTTCACCGGAATATCGAAAAGTTATCAACTCGCTAAAATAATTTCAGAAGATTTGGTAGCTGCAAAATAACTAAACCATATATTGGAAGCTCAGCATTCCCATTTCTCTTCCTTGACAAATAATCTCCCATGCTTTACAAAACAACGTCGTTCTTAAAAGCAGCCACTCATGAGCTATGCATAGAAGAGCAAAGTCAGATCTCTTTAATCTCGGCAGCAAGATCGTCTGATTCTAAACATTACTACACGGATAATTTTTTTTGAACTTGCTTGTACATTATATTATACATATTCCCGGTATGTGGAAGGGGAGAAGAGAAAAGGAAGGGAGATAAGGAGCAAGGGATGAGCTGCAGCCGCAGTTGTTCCGCTTCACCGGTTCTATGGTCAATGAACTTAAATGCCATATGAAATTGATATTTAACCTCTTCTGCATACAAATTATAATGATGATTACCAACCAAAATAAAGTATGTTTGTTTAGAAATAATAGCATACTGGCGCAACAGCTGTGGGACTGTGCAGTTTCCACCAATGCCGCACTCTGGATTAGTTACTCTGATAATTCAATCCTCTCTGGTGGCGGTGGTCCCGGCGGCGGGCGTCCCTCAAAGCGACCGGCACCGCACCGAACCTCCCGGGGGTGATTGCGATGCATGGGCCGACCGCCGGACCGTCTGTTTTTCGGTGACGCGCCGCTGATTGAAACCGCCGCCGGCGCCGCCACCCGGACTCAATTTTGTGGTTTGATTCGATTTTCTTTGTCGATGCAGTGATGCGCACTGCGGTAGAATTGCAGCGGAACACAGCCGGAGCACGCGGTCGGACGGCTCCACGAAACTCGCTCAACCGTTCGGCGCCGGCTGACGGCCCGTCCGTTTGATCTAACGAATCAGTGGCGGTCCGGGGGGCGATTCTTCCGGCGGCGGTCGGCTCTCCCGCGGCGACCCACATCAGGCGGGCTCTCTGTCAGTCATCCCGGGCCGGAAGGAGCGGCCCGCGCCCGGCGGGGCCGGGCCGGGCGGGGGCGGGGGCGGGGGCGGAGCGGCCGGCCGGGCCCGCCTATTGTTACCTGTCCGCCACTCCTCGTCGGCCTACCATGGCCGGCCGGGCGGCTGGCCATCGGCCCGTCGGCCCCTCGCAGCCATCCGGCGACAATGCCGACGCACTTGTCGCTCCCATTGGACAGACGAGAGTCCATTGTCTTCGAGGCGGCGCGCTGATTGGTCGGCCGGCGCCGGCACAGCCCGGTGATTGGCTGATCGGTCGGTGACGTCAGCACGGTGGTGCGGTGACGCCGTCGGCGGTTCCCGGGCACAATAGTCGGAAGAGGCGGCTGTCGCGCGGCCGCTGTGACTGAGACCAGTGCTGTGTCGCCCCGTGCCGCGTCAGGTGTCGGAGTGAGCTGGACTGTCGCACCCGATAGACTACCGTGACGTCATCACAGAGCCGTCTAGAGGTTGAGTTCCTGCTTCCGACAAAAGGTAGGTGACCATGGCTGTGGGATTCGGGATTGTTCCATGATCAGCGATTATTACGCCATTAATATCAAGAACCTGTTCAGAATACTGAATATGGATACATTTAAGCTTATGCAAGTTGATGATGAATGAAGTGAATGTCAGTAGTCGTCAGTTGTCCTCAGTTAGACACTTTTCCACTTAAGTGTCTTGCTGAGAGCAAATGTTGTAAATTGCCTCTTTTTTAAGAATGAATTAGTTGCTGATATAAGTTCATGAAATACAAAGATGCATCTTGTGAGGCTGGGTCTAGTTTTAATGACTATTTCAGCTGGCTTATTATGTGAATGCATGTCAAAATGTGTTATTTATTTAAGGGTAGTTAACAAATCATTTGTGAAAAAAATACACGAGGCAGTGAAGATGTAAATGCTTATGTGCAATTACGTTTTTTTTTGCTTTCATGCACATACCGGTTACCGTATGAGTGTGTGTTTTTAACATGATACTCGTCTTACATCACGAATGGCTACGATGTGAGGCCTCAAGTCCTTATGAACCTGCATCTCAGCTCAATGTTGGTCCCTTCACGTTTTATAACATAAGTCATAAGGCTATAATTATATAAATAAGCATTCACTACAAACTCTATGCAGATATCCACCTGGTCCACCATTCACTCCTAAGTGATAATGCAATGTAGAATCCTGCCCCTAACTGGCCCCAAACTCTCATCCATTCGCGCCCAGGCCCTGTCCGGCTCGCGACCCTCCTCCGATGATGTCACTGTCTTCCCACCGCGCGAACTGATCCGCCATTGACTGTGACCTACCCATGAAGATGACCGACTCATCTCCAAGTAACGCCCGGTGCCGCCGTTACATGTGCACTCTGCGTCTGGTCTATCTGTTCCCGATGTATGAGCCGTGCAACAGGTGGTGATATAAGGCGAACGGGCCGTGAACGGGACGGGGCCCCTCCCCACCGGCCGGCCGGAGGGGGTGAGCGGGGTCTGTATTGTTTCAGATGCTCCCCAGTTGTGTGGGGGAGTGAGGGGGAGTCGGGGGGGGGGGGAGTGAGAAGAGTGTCGGGTGGCAGGGCAGAGAGCAAGACATGTCGCCGGCGCCGGTGACGGGAAGGACAGATGGGGAACAGAGATGGACAGGAGGGAGAGTGATGGAGGACTGGGTAGGGACGAGGGGTTGAGGGCAAGGGTGGACAGGAGAGAAGGGAGCGGCCAGTTAACAGTTTAATCTGTCGCTTGCTATTTTCCGCCACGCCTGATTCTGATAGGAAAGAGGACAGAGCCATGCTCTCTTCCTTATCACAGGCGGTCAAGAATACTCCAATACTTCTGCTGATATTGTCAAATTGAAACGCTTGCGGCACTTCAGCACAGAAGCATAAATGGCACAAGAGCATAAGCGTCATTTCGTCACAGGCCGTCCTGTCCCAACATGGGCCGCGTTGCGGTTTCCCCATGCGCGCTTGCCCCCCAGACATTCTCCGCCGCGCCGCCCGCCGCCCGCCGCCCGGTCCCATACGCTCCACCATGTGAGAGCGGCACCGCCGGGTATTGTTTTAGCTGGAGACATACCCTGGCCACATGTGAGACAGTCACACATGTGTCAGCCACGCAAAACAACAGTATCGAGGGCGTCATGTTTTATTGTTCCGATATGATGATAAAGGCCTACGCTACAGACATATTTTGCCGACATGTAGCTTTTGCCAGCGTTCTTTGAACGGTGGGTCGATCTTTACAGATGTCACAGAAGCAGAGGACAAAAGTGCCCATTCGTGTGGTTGCTAAATAAAGCCCTAAAATTTGTATCTGTGGTGCCTAAGAAGTTCCGGTCAGACTTCTCGAGGGGTGCTAACATGTTGAAACTGCTTTGTCAAGTTGCATGCTATACCACGTCTTTTCAGCTTAAAGACCAATGTTAAGTTCTAAATAAAGAAAAGCTTAAAATGGACGTTCTCCAAAAAGTTCGTTAATTCGTGGATCTGACATTTTGTCACTAAAATTCTATCTTCTCAATAGTCGCTTTCACGATGGCCATCTGGTACACATTTGGTGCAGATTTGGTTAAATTAGGTTCATTTTATTCCTTGAAAGTTGCCAATTTGGGTTGCACAAATGCTTAAAAACATCATTTTTTCAAATTATCAGACATTATGTTCGATTAAAACTCTGAAAAATTAAATTTATGATATAAAGATATTTGTTGTAGGAGAGAATTGGTGCAGATTTAGTCAAACTTAGGTGCATTCGCCGGATAGATCGTCGAGAAAACGGCTAATGTAGTTCTGAAATTTCTGAAACTCTAAAAAATCAACGCATGGTTCAATCGAATGAAAAGTAGATTTCCATTGCATTGGGACCAGGGGGAGGCACTCGCCTTGGCCGTATATGGGCCAGAATGTCTAACGATTTCCGCCATGTTGTGTATACCAAAGTCTTGAAAAGTTGATCACTGCAATCAAACTGCAAGCATGAAGCAGCAGCACTTTTGAGTAGTGTACCTCTCACTAAACTGCACCTATGCTACCGTACATGCAATTTATATTTCTGGTATACACAACATGGCGGAAATCGATAGACAAAAACAAGTCACCAATGCTCCTTCCAGTATATATTAGAGTTCAGTGATTGGGACACAAAAAAAGCTTGTTAATGTAGCCTAAAAGCAATGTGGTGCTGCCAAGTATAAAATTCGCCATGCGCAAAGTGACACTGTCCATTACATTTGCAAACCTTTCTAAGTCAATATACAAATTATTATATGAATTATTAATCATTATAATCCTAACATTAGCAAATCACCCTTGAGCAAACACGGCACGAACTCTTTGCCATGGCTCAGTGTTTACTATTTGTCCTAATTAATTAGCACCAGAGTGGGTCGACCACAGGCACAGTGCCTGCAATCTCTGTGCTGTGCCTGTCTGTCTGTCTGTCTGTCTGTCTGTCTGTCTGTCTGTCTGTCTGTCTGTCTGTCTGTCTGTCTGTCTGTCTGTCTGACCGTCTGACCGTCTGTTCATCTGTTCGTCTGTTCGTCTGTTCGTCTGTCCGTCCGTCCGTCCGTCTGTCTGTCTGTCTGTCTGTCCGTCCGTCCGTCCGTCCGTCCGTCCGTCCGTCCGTCCGTCCGTGCGTCTGTCCGTCTGTCTGCCTTGCTGCCTGCCTGCAGAGTTCCCCAGTGGTCTCATTAGCCACCTCTCGACTCTCTCCGCCTCTCGGGCCACGCTGCAGTCGGCAATTCGAGCCTCTGTCTGTTTGCTGACCCGGGTGACGCTGGCCGGCAGCGCCGCGCCGCGACCACGGGCCATACAGACACCTTTGTAGAGCCGAGAACAGAGGTGGCACACACACATACACACAGATCGGCTATTGTTCACCATCGGCCCCCGGAATGTGCTTACGTTAATAGGATCAAAACTATTAGGGATTCGAAAGATAACAAACGGTCTAAATGAAATACTGTGATGGATTGCCTAATGAAGATGTTGATGGATCAATGAATGGATAAATAAACATTGTTCTATGGTGACGTTCAGTAGCGATATCAATGTCCAGCTGTGGTTGCGCTTTCAGCAAAATATATTATTTCAGAAATTGATGCCTCTATGTAAAGCCATGTAACTAAATTCATAAATGTTATATGAATGAAAGGATGAGTTAGAAATTTTGCTTTACTTTGAAGTTTTTCACGTTCATTTATAAAATCTGAAAGATTATTATATAGCCGGAAAGAAAGGCCATTTATTTATTGTATCACAGGTATCAATGAACAATTTTTTTTCGTGCTGCTTCCAGCACTAGCACTCGTCTGTTTCATGTCATCAATGCGAACATACCATGCATGATGCCTTCTAGCGCCTTCTGCGTCAACACATTCACCACGTTTCTCTGCACCACGCGTGCAGTTCAGCTGCAAGAGATGAGGGGAAAATTGCCGCCGCTGCTTTTACAACTGGTTTCATTCAATCACGCTGATAGATCTTATTGGGGAACGGCAGAACTCGGACACGCCCCTCCAAACTCCAGATCCTCCTGCAACATGTACGCGTTCCGGCCGACTTGGCATGCACTTCACTTACATCACGTAGGTTTCGACGTCACTTTGGCCTGCTCGACAGCCAGTCGGTCAGTCTTCATGTCGAATGGTCGGTTGATCCGCTGGTTCAGGCGGTGACCACTGACCAGTCGGCTGGTCAGTTGACCCACGATCGTTCGCTTCTCGATTGGTCGGTTGTCACTCTTCTCTGCCCGGTCGAATCCGTTCGGTCCTCTACTGATCACTTGATCAGCATTTTACTCGATATCCGCTCAGATGGTCCCAGGCTTAGACCCGGGCCGGTTGGGTTCAATCAGCCTTCGGTCGGGTTCGATCAGCCCCCGGCCGGGTCCGATCGGTCCCCGGCCGGGTCTGATCGGTCCCAGACTGGTCAGCATTTCACCTGATCTCTGCTCTCATGGTCCCCGATTTAGACCCGGACTGTTCGGATCCCACTAGCCCCTCGGTCGGGTCCGATCAGTCCTCGGTAGGGTCCGATCAGCCCTCTGTCCTGTCCGATCAGCCCCCGGTCCGGCTCGATCAGCTCTCGGCCGGCTCCACTCTGTGATCGGTCCCCAGCGTGACGTCCGGCCGGCAGCGGCGCGGTGCCACCATGTGGTCACCAGCCGACCTTCCCCGCCTGGCCGCCAACGAAAACACGGTCCAGCCTTCGGCCAGGTATCGGAGCCACGCGCCATCATCTCAATCGACCCCCCAGTCCCCCCCTCCAGAGGGGACAAGAGTGACGCAACGTGGCGAGCCCCGACGCAGCTGGACACGCGCAGTCTTAGTTGCGCGCCGCCGCTGTCAACGCCTCTGACTTTTTATTAGACGGGTTCTGCGGCGGCTGCGGATATTGGCCAGCTTTCACTCCAGTTCCGACCGGGTCTCTGACAGCTCAGAGGGAGACGCAGCCAACAGTCAGATGGCAACCCGGTGCCAAGGTGCACAATTTGGTGACGTTGT